AACTCTTACCCCTTCACTTCTTCCCATGCATTTTCTCCTGTGCCCTGAATTCCTCCCTTCCATCTTCCCCATCCATCGCTCGCTCCTCCTCTCCCCTTACCCCACACTCTCTTCGCTATCCTTTTTCGGATTCCCTCCTCTCAACCCTCCGTCTTTCCCTAATCATCCTCTTTCTTTTCTCTTATTGCCTCCTCCCTTTTTCCAGCCTACCCTCCCATAGGTTTTCTATTACTAAAGACGTGTAATTCGCTGTGCCTCTCTGATCCTTTGTTAAGCAAAGTCACTCCAAGCCCTTTCTGCTGCACCCACTTACTGACCTCCTTGTCCCTTCTCCAGGCAGGTCCAGCTCTTCGGGAAGGAGCTCCCTTCTTTCAGCTAGCTTTCCAGACACCTTCCAGACAATCCTGGCAAAAAAAGATGTGGAATTGTGATGTAGAAAGCAGGCTGAAATCCTCCCCAGTTCCTTGCCTCACCATATGAACCCACACAATCACACCTCTTGTCTTATGAACAATGCCTTGCCAGGCCTTTTGTAAACACCACCACAGAGGAGTTCCTGCCAGGGGCAGAGCACCCTGGGTTATGGTATGGCTCATCCCTCTCCCATTTCCCCCTATGGCTCTGAGCACCCTTTCCCATGGGGTTAGCACGCTGATTGACTGACAGCACAGGAAGCTGACACTCCCAGGGAAGAAAATGAGCTGACTCTATGGAATTTGGACATGCTTTTATGATAACTTCATTACTCAGAGTGTTTGCTCCCCCTTGACCATATTCAGCAAGATCTAGGACACAGACCAGACTCTTCCACCCTGTTTCAGGGGGGAAAAAAACCCCACAAACTAAAGTTCTCAACACATCAGATGGCCAGAGATCCCATACAAGAACCTCTTAGGGCAGAGTTGCTATTTTCTTTTGCAGTACTTGATGAAGTTGATTAGGATTTGTATTTTTCTGTGTGCATGCCTAAAGACAAGTCTCGAAAGAGGCGAGGGACGATCTCTTGCACAGCTCAATATGTTTTTGAGAAGATGCATGAGGGAATTGACACACATGAAAGTGAGAGCAATAAGACACAAAAACAGATGGGCTGATGGAGTTGGCTGAGTGAACAACTCAAGCACTTTGGGTTTTATATATATCTTAGAAAGAACGGTGCTGAGATGTAAGTAAAAGTGGGTTTTGTGCCGGGTCTTGAAATTGATTGGGGTTTGGGGCACTGAAAAAGGCAACGGCGATAGGCCATGGGAAAGACAAGGATGGGAGCTGGGTACCCAGCACCACAAAGCAAGGAGATGCAAACACGTGGGCATGTGCAGGTAAGTACATGACATATTCTAACAATTGTAATTCTACTAACTGTTCTCTTAATTTTCCTAGTATTTTGGGGGGTTATGATCAATCACACTGACTGCTTGAAGAATCCCCCTTGGCAAATATGACTGCAGCAGTTTGAGATGCAGCCAGCTGCACGCCCTGCCTCTCTGCTCAGGTTTTCCAATCTTAAGGACAGTCACGGACGCTGGACGTGTGCTCCAGCCACAGACCCACCAGTGTGAACGGTGTCAGACCAACTCACACTCCGCAGGACTTGCCTAAAACGTGGACTGTGAACTGCAGTTTTTTAGTACAGACTCACATCTTCGTGGGGCTGGGTGGAGCACACAAAGGCTATTTTAAATCAGCTTAACTGGATTTGCAGGAGGACATTTGTCAGAACACCAAATCTCTGCAGGAGCCCTGTACAACCAGTTGACCAAAAAACCTTTACTGTTACTGTCATTTCCTCCTAAACAGGAGACTTATAATAAATTTCACAGACCAGACCCTCAGCTAATGCAAATAACCAAGGTTCCACCACTCCCGGTGCAGATGTCCTTATTTACTTCAGCTGAGGATTGACCTTACGTGTTTTTATTCCAGTTTATTTTTCATGATCTTCATTTGCTGTGTCTTCATCTGGTGTGTTTATGTGGCTGGTGCTTGGTTTTCATTATTTTTAACTGCATTTCAGATTATTTGCTCTATAGTTTTGTTCACATTCTCCTTTTCCACGAAATTCTAATAAAACACTTGGCTACAGATTTTCCAAATTGAATACTGATGTTTAGTGCAGCTAATTATGTAGCAGGGTTCAAAGCGAGTTCTATACTGTAACAATTTACATGTTCTTGAAAACAATGGACACAAACTTACAAATTATTGTTAGAAGCTAGTTTCACATTCTTCTGGAATTTCCTTTAAAAATACATATGTTTAGTATTCTCATGCATATGAAAAGCAGTAAATACTCCATTGCTGGCACCATTATAATATTTACAATGAAAAAAAAAAAACCCACACTGATGTCTGTCAGACCTAAAAGGACATTAAAAAAATGCTAGTACATTTCCTCCAAGGATCTCAAAGCACTTCACAAAAGCGCTTCACAAATTCAGCCGCTCAACATCTATCAAGCAGCTGCCAATGAGACACAAAGATCATTTTACAAAAAAGCACTCAGGATGGTTGCAACAACATTATACATTTAGTTTTTCAGCCTCACCAGTGTTCTAGCATAATCAGATTAACTACAATTTCAACATTGTAAAATGAATTAAGTCATTTTCGGTTGTTGTCTAAACCGACTGAACTACAGACAGCAAACTGTGAGCAGACCAGGCTGCTCAGGAAGAACCAGACTAAACTGACTTTCAGAAAGCTGCTATAAACCATAACTCTGTTTATAATACTAATAGCTCATAACTCAGTAGTTAGGCCTATTAATATGATCCTTTACACCAGGCTGACTTGGAGAAAACAATCTCTTTTTTTTGCTACTCTTAATGCAAGCAATATGTATGCAAACGTTTGCTTGTGGCTCCACCCGACCCTTTTTTATTTTGTATTCTTTTAATTTTAGAATGCTACTTAAATGTTAATAAATGTGAAGTCATCTGCAGAGCAGCAGATTATCTGTCAGTCTATCAAGATATTGGCTGGGCACTTTCATTACTGCAACACAACAGACTTCAGGCCATGTTATAACAAACCAGCCCTACAGAAAGAGCGTTCACACAGAGTTTCTGAGGGTGTGTTACAGTAAGATTAAAGTGTAATTATACACGTCCAGAATTCTAAGAGCATGATTATTTTTGCTTCTTTGTGCATCTACCTGCACTGGAGCTTATAGTTCATGGTGTTATAACTCAGGAGGAAAACTAAGAGATGAGCCAACAGAAGCAAAGAATACCTTCTAAAAGCTGAACACAACAGGGACAGTGGCTGAACTCACATGGATTCAGTATTTCCAAATCTGACATACATGGAAAAATCAAATTGCTTTTTTACTCCCCTTGGCTTGTACTTTTCTATTTTGACTTATTACCACTGCATTAGTTCTATTTGGTTAATAAACACTGACAGTTCCATTATGTTACTGTATAAACGTCTGCCTGTTTAAACTCTGGAGTTTCACAGCGGGTTTGACTTGTTTATGTGCACAGGCATAAAAATACTGAGGAGAAAAAGCCTGTGTCAATTTGAACTGTTTAAATACATTAATTGTTTTATACTTTCCTAAAATGTTGCTAACTTCATCCTACAATTGCAGCAATAAATCAATGAAATATTAAACGATTACAAGATCATTTTTATATACAAATACACATAAGGTTATGAGAGTAGCTATTGTAATAGAAGCGTTTCGTGCCGACAGGGCCAATATTATAATTTAGCTGTCATCATAATAATTACTCAAGTAATCTAGAGAGGGGTAGGAGCAGTGTGACACCCGGGACAGCTCCTCCACAGTGCCCTCTGCTGGGACCCTCCCGTGCCGGGGAGGGACAGCGGGGACAGCGGGGACAGCCAGTGCTCCCACGCGTGACCCCAAAGGGCAATCTCAGCTCTCGACTGGCTAATCCCCGCTGCGGGTGTGCAGTGCAGTCCCACCTGCACTGCGTCATAACCCTCACACGCCCTCCCACTACTGTTTTTTTTTAGCACACGTGAGCAACCTTGGATGACTCATGTATTATCCAATAGTAATTCCATCATAAGAAGTAATAATAAATTATTTTAGAAAGAGCTATCATTATTTTTACAATTGGAGGCAGGTATCATTTGCAAAATTAATTCATTTTCTCACAGTCAGACAAGTAACAGAATGGTAACAGGTCCTGCTGCTACTTCCCTTTCTTCAAACGTTCCTGTCACAGCAGTTTGACTCGGCCACGGGGCCAACTTGGAGTATACATGTTCTTTTCCAGCAGTTCTGAAAGAAGGCACAAAGAGAAGAGCCTGCAAGCTCAGGAAAAGGGAGTTAAATGTGTGATTTCTGAAAGAGTCCCTGCAAAAGTATGGGGCAGGAGGGACTTGCTCACAGGAGTGATACGGAAACTCCCTACTGAGTGATGCCAAAATAACAGACTGACAAGTGATGCAGAGCTCAAACATCACACCCTGGAGGACAAGGGGACGTAAAGACAACACAGACCAATCTAGCTGTGAAGCAAGGTACTGTGTAACAGGAGCTGGATGTTTATAAAAGATTAAACTGTCAGAATCCATAGTAGCTTGTTCACTGTAAAGATCAAATGTTATCCTTGTTTGATAGGAAATTTCCTTTAACAATGCACAAAGCCTAATAATTTGCTTTAGAACCATATTGTGTGT